CGGCGGGGAGTTGCCTGGGAGATGGCAGCAGACACAAAGCGAGCAGGGAGGAGAAGGGCCTTGGAGAGCTGCTCCTGGGCCTTTGGGGTGGGATGCGCTGGGTGCCTCGGTGGTCCCCGGCGCACAGCAAGGGCCGCCGGAGCCCTCTGCCGAGCAGCCCACCCCTCCCGCCTTGGCGCGCACCTTCAAACGCTCCTCCTGTGCTCAGCTGCCCAACCAGTGGCTTTTCTTCTGGCTCGGGGTCTCTTCGGTTTGCCCTCGCTCTCCTCCCAGGTCGGCTCTTACAAGGGAACCAGGGGCAGACCCAAAACGCATAGGATCCCAGATCCAGCCCCCAGTCCCAGCTTTCCAGCTCACACCTACCTCCAGCAGGAGCAGAGCTGAGGGTCAATCAGTCTCAGAGAGCAACCAGGGCAAGATGCTTCACCCTGAGATGTTTCCAAGGGTGGCGTTGCCAAGGTCTAAACGGGCTCTGAAGACACAGGCAAAACCGGGTCTGTCACTAGGCCGGTGAGCACATGTAGGGGGGGGGGGGCACTACAGAAAAGAAGTAAAACACACAGACAAGCTCCTACAGTTCAGAAAATTTGCAGTCAGCAAACAGCAGGAAAATACCTGCATGGAAGGGTCAGCTATGCCTGGGTTGTAATAAGGAAAGGTTTTAACTGGTAGGCTCAGCTCTGAGGGCAGCCTGTCTTGCTGCCTCCTGCAGGCTCCCAGGCTTGCTGCACCCTGGGCACAGCAGATGCCCCAGCCTCTCCACCATCTGTCTGGGAGCGCAAGGCACCCTGTCCCAAGGCCAAGGCACTCAGAGACACCCACCAGCATCCCCCAGCCTCAGAAGCATCCTACAGGGGCAGCGGGCTGCTAGCAGCACCAGGCTCCTAGCTTCTCCTGGGGTATCTCTGCTTGGCCATTGGGAGTCCAGCTGTGGTCCCTACGTGCCCCGCTCAGCACCTGGCAGGCTGGAGGTGCTCCAGAGAAACGCTGTCTCTCAGTGCCCCGAAAAACGTCCCCTGCCGACCACCAGTCCTCTAGGCCATGGTCCCAGCGGGGACCCTGGGGAGCCCTGCCCGGAGAGGTGGGCGCCCAGAGCAGGGCGGAGAGGGGAGCAGGGCCTTGGGCACCTCGCTGGGGACAGACCCAGCTCCGCAAAGGGCAGCACCCAGACCGGCCCCAAGCAAGCACAAAACGCAGCCCACGTGCTCCAGCCCGGCAGGACAGCGGACGAGCGCAGACAAGCTTCCAGCTACCGACGCGGCTCAGGGACGTGACTTCCGCTCCCTGTGAACAAACTCCTTCCACCAACACTGTCGCACGTCGTTTCCGGTGGCCTGGACACAGACCTTGCCCACGACCCATCTCGGCAGCCCTCTCGTGGGCTTGGTGTCAAGTCTGGCCCGGCACACAGCACGTACCCAGTTCTGCGCCTCTCCCTGGGAAACACGTGGCCCACCTTTGGTTACACACCTGTAAACGCCACTTCAAAGCCCCTGAAAACCACTAAGTAACGGGAATTGGTAACGTTACACTTCCCAGCTCCTCCAACTCAAGACGTTCCCCTGAACTCCTCCTGCCCAGGGTGCATTTGGGAAGGCCAGAGCTGCCTGTGGCTGCATGTCTCAACCACATCAGTGCCCAGGAGGGTTTAAGCTATTTTCAAGCCAGGCAAAGCAGGACCTCAGGGTTTTGCCTTTAAAACCAGAGCAGTACTAGGAGGAGAAACAATCAAGTGACATCTGGATCAGCACTGAAGGACAAGGCTCTGCAAGGCGTTAGTATGAGTTGCCCCTCAGCTAACACCAGATACAGCCAGCCTGGCCACACAGCAATCCTGGAGAGCAGGAAGGCTGACTGAAGGGCAGCAACTACAAATCGCCTCCCAGGAACTGACATCCTGCAAGCACGGGAAGACAGCCAGGCGCGTGCTCCTGGGATCTGCAGAGTACTCACCCGGATTGCTTTGTAAAAACAAGGCTTTTATACTGAGGGTGTTTTTGGAAAGCACATGCAATTCTTGCAGTTGAGACATGAAGCCCAGGCCGAGAAACAAAAACAAAACAAAGAAACAAAAACCCACAACAAACATACCTTTCTCCAAGAAGCAAGTCCAAGAACCCATCACAACCATAGCGAGGCGCACGAACATCAGCATACATCACTGATTTACCAACGCAAACAACTCGAGACAGCTCGGCTGCTACGTTACTCTGAATCAAAAAGCAGATCGCTTGGGTGCTCTGAGAGCAAGACAGGATGACAAGGAGCAAAAAAGGTATTTGATACCCCATCACCTTGAAGGGAGTCCCTGTGTACAAGTCTGTTTCCTCCATCTCCGCTAATCCTAAGCGCCCAGAGTAGGAGTTCCCACCAGGAGAAGGGAATTAGACTTTCTCGAGGACGATAATCCATTTAAGTACAGCACTTATTAGGAGACTCGGCACTTTTCCAAGTGAGTGGCTCACAGCCCTCCCTCTCCCGTGTGCCCAGCAGGGCAGAAACTGGTCCCCTGTCTCAAGAGGGCCGAGCCATCAGAGCAGAGGGGCTCAGAGCCACACACCCCAGAGCAAGCTGCTGTTCCCCCATGTCTTGCTTATGCCAGAGCTGTTTTAGTTTCAAGTGGCATGAAATCACCTGCAGCCTTGCTCCCAGGGCAGCTGATCCCAGGGCAAGTGGAACAGCTCTACTCCCACTTGAAAGCTGGCATCAGTTGAGTTAGTTTGAAGCTTGGTCAAGCAAGACTCCATACACATTGCTGCCTTATGTCCGAGGGCGTGGGGACATACTGTTGTCATAAGGAGATATGCACAAGCCCATCTCTACCTCCCCTCTGTCCCTTCTGGCTGCATGGCTGTTCTCAAAGCCCCACCACAAACCTAATCAGCAAAGCAGCAGAGAAGGGATGGACTCACCTCCCTGTGCCATGCTGGATCTGCTTTACTTACCTAGAAGAGCTTTAATATTGGGTAGCTCTAGAAACCAGGTGACGCTGGTCCTACCGAAGTCATTTGTGTGTGTCAGACACCAAAGACAGCTTGGAAGTAGCTGACAAAGTCCCTTTGAGCCACAGGCTACCACTAAACCAGTTCCCAGCATGCCTTCCCCTTTGGTAAGCCAAGAAGTTACAAAAACAGGGGCTCCTTGTTACCCAGTTCCCAAAGGTAATCTCAAATCAGAAGGAGTCAAAAAAAGCAGATTTTAGGAAGTACCAGTTTATTCAAGCAAAAAATAAAATAAATCGGTAACAGTGGAAAATCCCCAAGACCAATTACACAAGAGAATCTAAACATCCAGAGACACAGACACTGCTCCCGCCTTCCTGGTAGCGCTGACCATAGGCAGTTGAAGTTCTCCCAGTCTATAGTGAACTCTGAACAGTTTGTTTTGTTTGTTTTGTTGCTTTTGTTTTAAAAAGTGTCTCAGAGCCTGTGGCTTCCAGGAACAAGCTTGTACTGGAACCAAGTAAGGGAGTCAACCTGGAGGAGGAGCCTTGGGAAAAGTCCTCTGGCACTGATGACTCCGTACATCACTCCTCCGATATCCCCACTTCACTAGCCTAGAACTGACAGCACCAGAATTCCTTTGTTCTATTGCCTCTAAAAATTTGGTCCCCAAGCACAGTCTCTGTAAGAAGGCTTGAGGAGTTAATGAGATTTTTTTTTTTTAAAAAAAAAAAAAAAACAATCTTCACAACCCTTTGCTTTTGTACTCCCTACGAGATCACTCAAATTGAGGAACTCGCACCCAGATGGTATCCTAACACACTAACTGCTGCAATAGGACAAGATTTGCATAAAGTAGTTCTGTAACTCCTTCCTGAAACAGAGACCTAGGACACACACATTATCCCTCCCTCTAGGAGCATTTGGGGGAATTGGCCTGACTCTCAGAGGAAGGAGCTATTTACACGATACATTAAAGACCCATTGCAGGAGGTTCAGAGCTAGCAATGTGCAAGAGCTCAGAGTTCCTGCATGGGAGATATCACCCAGGCAGACTTCTAGCTACCAAAGTCAACCTTCTGCAAGAGGCAGGGACTCAGCACGGTACCACTGGGGACTCCACAGTTGAGGCAATCTGGATAATCCCCAAGACAGAGACCTACTTCCTCCGTACTGTGAGCTGCCAGCACTTGCTCCAAAGCAACCCCAGAAAGAAGATGCAGACCTGAGCTCCACCACATCACCTACTGCAGCCTGCTTCCAGGGCACAGCTGTGAATGGGATGGCACTGCCCTGGGCCTGAATTGGGGCACTACGGGCCCCCAGGACTCGGCGGCCATGCACCAGGACCCAGCCGCCTTCACTAGCGCAAGACCGCTTGCACTCTAGACAAGACACCGGACAAACAACAGTACAAGCTAGATCAAACCTCTCACACACGGTAAGGCTGCTGAAGAAATAACTCCAGCCTTTTCACTCTTAACTGCATTTTCAGTAAAATATATAATATATAGCTCTATAGGACCGATTATAATATATTACAGACTAAAAATACTCTTGTCTTTTCCCTACTTCAATCATATTATGAATCCAATTTTGCATACAGATTAAAAGTTATCGCCTTGAATTTATAATTAAAATTCACAGAATAAAGCTTAAATAGTTTCCACAGAGACTCATTATATTAGTGTTTTACATAAAAAGGATAAGAGTTACTAAATGAGAAGAGCAGCCATTTCAGAAACTATAAATAGTTCTATAAAAAAGAAAAAAAAATCAAATCCAAAAATAGTTACAGGAAAACCATAAATATCTTTATCCTCTACAGTAGCTGCTATAGAATTAAAGAAATCTGTAACACATTGTAGCTAGCACTGCTTCAGTTTGGAATATGAATCATATAAAACACATATCTAGAGAAATGCCCAGCCAAAGGAAACACAAAGGGATTGAAAAAATAAATCTGAGGAAATTAAAAAAGTAGATTTTTTTATTTCGAAACAATTTCTACAAACTTTATATAAACATTAGGCTATTTTCTTTAAAATTTTGTTATAAAAATCCTACAAACAATCCTAAAAAGGTAAGAGACTGAAGGCAAGGAAAGGGTGTTGTCATAGCCAAACAAAACGGACCGTCCTGATTTCACAGACTAATGACCCTTGCCTGGGGCCAACAGGAAGAGATAGAAGTCTCCTGGGGAAAAATGTTCCCATAGGCCCTTTATGGCATTCAAGGATTTTTAAGCCCTAAGGGCTCTATACTCCCTGATAAGGCAACATTATCTGTAGTGTAAGAGATTCATAAATAGTTCTCCACAAAAAAGCTTCACATCAGCCTGCTACAAGACATCTATTAGCGAGATTTATAAAACAAAAAAAGCCATCTTCTATAGAGGAAGCCAATCTGAGCGCTGCATACTGGATGCAAACACATGGTGTTCACTTCCATGCGGTCTGTTTTGTGTTTATATACCCTCTACCAAACCAAGCAGTGAATTTGGCATCTTTATTATTTTTACACTAGCTTTAGAAAAAATACACTTTTTTCAGACTCTTTGTATTTCATTGGGCCCTTGATAGCTGAGCAGGGTGAGAAGGGTCATGGAGAAAGTTCCCCCACCCCAAGTCACTTTGAAATTCAATCCAAAAAGAGCATTTATTTGTTCAGCATGTCTCATCTGAGGGCACACTGTTTCCATACAGTCTGTCTGTCCCTTGATGGGCACAAGGTGCTGCTGAGCTTTAAGCATAGAATTCATTTGTAGGGGCTTTCTTGTAGATTGGTTTCCTCCCAAGGTCGTAGCTTCCTTCATCCTTTTTCTTCATACGATAGACTAAGAGGAGGATCAGGAAGACAGCAAACAAGAGGCCCACTGCCCCTCCTGCAATGAGAGCTGGGAAAAAGAGCATGGATTCAGTGTAAACTCTTGGACAACTCCAGATGTCAGCTACATCTCAAAGTCTGCTTCACCAGTACCAACCCCACAGAGCTGCCTCTGTCACTTTTGCCCATGTGCCTATCACTGTGCGCTCTGGCATTTTCAGCAACAGCAGATGTTACTGGGGAAGACCAGAAATTGCTTTTCATCCAACCATAGAATAATCACATGTTCCACATTAACTAGGTCGAGCTAATCTTTGAGGTAGTGCAAGAAAGAGGTTTTCTTAACAAGGCATCCTCTCCACTCAGAGGCACAAAATAAAAGAAAATCAGTATCAGCTCCACAAAAATGATTTGAACCCTCTGCTAACTAGCTGTGCAAGCATAGTTGCTTAAATTAAACAGCAATATCTCCCCAAAAGCAAAAACATTTCTCCTCTCTTCACATCTTGAGAGGCCAACAACACTTAAAAATTAAGTTTATCTTTTGCTGTGACACCTATATATGGCACTAAATTGTTTTTTTTTTTTTTTTTTTTTTAAGCTGGCTTCAATAGCCACTCTTCCAGTCAGTCCTCCAGGTGCAAAAAATGGCTGTACACTGGAAAAGTGACTGAGGTGTGCACCAGGAACATTAGGCCAAACACGTGATGAAACTTGCCTTGGGAAAGATCTTTCCCAAGTGCTGAGGAGTAGCCAGTCACTTGGTGTTGCTCTAGATAGAGCAACTAAGATTCATATCAGTTGACTAGGTGCTTAAACCCTTACAGCAGTTGTTTGTTTTCTGGTAAGCAAGGTGCTTGCTCAGAAATGGCAGGACTTGGGCAGCTGGAAAAGTGCCTTCGTTTAAAGTTCATGATTATGGCCAGATAAGCCTCCAGTTGAAGCAGGCTAGCTGCACAGCAGCACAGGAGCCTTCACAGGACTTGCATGGCATTTCCCTAAGCCAACAGCCAGATGGCTGGCTCAAAAACAAGTTGATCCCTCACCCCATCAAGAAAAGCAGCGTGCTTCTTTGCCTTTTAAGGATTCAAAGGCAGAAGTGACCCTCCTACAGCCAGTCCCAGAGGTAATGCATCACACTCCCCCGTCAGAAGGGAACGGACCCCAAAGAGACAGCAAAGAATGCAAGCCCTTTCGATTTACAGTAGTAACTATTCATCACTAGAGTTCAAGGACAAGGTAGAGTATTACCTGTAAGCACTTCTGTTCTTTCAAAGATGCTGCTGTTGGCTGTGCTTGCCATGGAGACCTTGTTGGACAGGTTCTCTTCCACAGGTAAAGCTTTGTCTGGAATGATTTCATTGTCCACCATCGTGTTTCTGTCCTCACCTTCTATCTTTCTCTCAGTATCTCCAGGGATATAATTGTCAGCTATCTAAAGAGTAGAGACAAGCCACACCCGTCAGTAAGCAGCACCCAAGCCTACCTACAATTGAAAGCAGGAGGGCGTGCAGGGGAAAGAAAGTTTGCTTAGTGCATTACGAGTACACTGTTCCTTCACATGCAGATAGATTCATCTTGAAGCCATGTTTTGCAGGGGGAAGGGTATTCAGAAAGCTTCAGAGACAGGTCAGAGTAGCTATACACTGTTCAAGAAAGGCAAAAGCAACACCTACCACAGGACTATCCGCGGTGGTTGGAGACAAGGCATCTTCAGAGTCTATGTAGTCTGCAGAGGGGGGGAAAAAAAAAAAAAAAACAAAGGGTACACTGAATTTCCCTCTGATTACAGGCCATTCTTCCAGAGCTCTGATGCTTCCAGCAACACCAGCAACTGCAATCAAACCAGGACTCTTGTTCTATCCTGACTACAGTTCCCACTTATCTACTAGTACTTTCACCGCTTAACGACTTCGATTGCACAAGACCACGAGACAATCTCAAGACCAGCAACTGTTCCACGGGAGAGAGCTTCAGCTATACACATTGGCTCCTGCTGCATATTATCAGGAGTTGCTCTGCAAAGCAGGTCTGCTATAGCATGCTACGTTAATGCCAGTGGAAGGCAATGTTCTTACCACCCATCCCTGAAGGCTGGTTTGCCAACCCTCTAGCTATCAGATCTGCCCATACATGCCAGATACTAACTTCAGCACTTTTTTTTCCTTTAGAGGACACAAGTCTTCACATAAAGGGGACACAGAGCTGCTGAAACTGGTTGGGGCAGGGAGCTTTGCCTGTCACAGAGAGTTCACTTGAACACCAGCTAGTCCTTCGCCTTTAAGCCTCAGATTAGAACTTATTTTTTTCCTAAGTCTCTCAGAAGTCTTAGGGAGTTCAACAGGAAAAAGGTCCAGCCAGTGCAATGCCTTTTCACTTGCAATAAGATGAGCCTGGCTGGACTTCATCTATCCTCACCGAGTGATTCAACATCACGGTACAATCACTTTTGCTGTTCTCCTCTGCAAGTGCTTAGGATCTATATGGCTTCCTCATCTTCACCTGACACACTGTAGTTCCCGCTGGAGCTCTGGCTGTGCCCTTAGTCCATCATTCGTAACTGCTGGCCCCAGGAAGCGTTGTAGAGCATGAACAGAGAGAGCCATTTTCCCCCCTTACCTCCAGAACCAGATGCCTCATGTTCATCTAACCCATCAGAAGTTAAGTGAAGCTTGAATTCACCAATGTCTTCATCATCTGGCAAGTCTCCAGAGGCAAACCATCTGGCATCCATGGTCTCAGTTTCTCTCACCTGAAAACGGGAGGGAGAAGCGTTAAGTAACAAGCAACTAGCCAAGACAGTTTCACAAAAGGTCAGGAGTTCAGATACTGTGCTGAGCACATCACTTCCATCACAAGAACGTTAAATGCTGAACTTCCTCTCTGCCTACAGCATGATCTTCATTGGCCTGGAAATAGCTGAATTCCCCTAAAGTTTCTCAGAACAAAAATAGGAGCCTGTCTGGGAGGGGAATTTCCTGAGGGCAGCAGATTCAGCAGGTTCACTTTAGCAATCAGAGGGTAAAACTATTACAACAGGATCTTGGTCAGGAGTTTGTAATAAAAGCCTTTAGAAGAGCACTACCTACAGATTGTCATAAAGGTAGATTTGGAAGGACTTGCTATACTCAGAGAATGAACCTGTTACTATAGCAGGAAAGGTCAGTTTATTGCATAGCACTGAAACTTCAGGTCAAGGCAACTGTTGCTTCCTGCACTGAGAAGCAACCTACTTTACCACCCAAGGGTTAAAAACTGGCCTGTCAGTTCAACAGAATTGCAGTGCAATATAGTATGACGACGTTCAAGAACATTTGCTATCAGTATTGACTTGCCTGAAGGAAGAACTTCCCCTGCCTCACCTCCTAAAACTCATGTAAACAAACAAGTCTGTAGCTTGAAAATGAAGTCCATGATACTGGGGTCAGATGCACGTTAGCCAAATAGCAGCACAGGAAAGGCAGCCTGCCAAGCTTGCAAAGGAGCAAGGCCAGAAGAGCCAGCTGCTTTGCCATGACAGCAATTTATTGACCAGAACTCATTTGCACTTGGGCCTTTGAGGAGCCACAGGTCCAAACGTCCTGCCCTCACTAAGATTATGCAATGCCTCAGAACTATTTCTCCAGACCCCATAACCCTGGAGCCAGCCCTCATGAGGGTACCACAGATACAAGCTCACAAGTTGCCCAACACAAACCCACAGATTCCAACAGCTCCGGCTGCTTCTAATTCCACAGCCATAAAGTCATCTGCTTGGTAGGGGACTTAACCCCTTCCCTAAGGCCAGGCATGCAATGCAGACAGATGGGTCCTACTGCCAGGGGGTAGGCTTCCAAAATGCTTTCATGCCATCCCCAAAATTGCTCCATCCACTACAGAAATACTGGGAACAGATTTTTTTTTTTTTTTTTTTAAAAAAAAGTTTCCTGGCCCTTTGGTTTAAGTCCTGAAGGTTTATCTGCCTATCAAAGTGTTCTTAAATAGGCACAAAAGAACACGTACCTTTATTCCACAGCCCTGTTCCTATGGGAGAGCTCTCAGCTGTGCAGGTTAACCACAAATGTAATTACAATTCTGAGGGGGTAGAAGAGCACAAAGAGTTGTGGGGACTATTAGAACTGGGACTGGCCACCTCAGCCCTGATGCCTGCTGCTTTATCAGAGTATGAGGCAGCTCCAGTGGCTCAGAGCAGCTTTGCTGCTAGCCCAGGCAGGTGTGGCCTGTTGTACGGACCAGCAGTGAGATAGGCTGACGAATTGTATCTGCTATTGATCTTCCAAGTGACAGTTAGCAATCAGCCACAAGCCCTAAGTCAGCTTCCCCTTCCCACAGTCCCAGCCCTGTTTCTAGCCTAGATTTCCCTACTCATTAGCATACTGGTCTTGCCACAAACAAGTGCCTTATGGCCAGAACAAGATGTTTCTCCTTATATCCCAAGTTTTGCATAAGGAGAAGTGACTACTGCATGTGCTTCTCATTAGTTTATTCCGGCATCTTTGGTTTCCCCAGCAACTCTGCTGGAGGACAACCAAATGAATAGCCTAGAGGGCACAAAGTGCTGAGGCCAGCTCTCCTCCTAGACCCTGCGTCTCCACTCTGCCCAAGCCTGGCACTAGGTGATGGGAAGAGGATTGAGGAGGAAGGACAGCTGGAAAGAAAGCCTCTCTCAGCCTGGAACTAGGCATTTCTAACATCATGATCACTTGCTCCAAGGCACATTCATCTCAAGACATCTGAAGCCCAGCCAAAGCCAAACACGTAATAGAAACTGCTGCCAGAACGCAGTTGCTGTTCCCACTGCTGCTTGTGGCTGTTTCATCAAGGAGCAGGAAGAGATCGATTCCAGTTTGTCACAGGCCAAGCTTCAGCAGCTCTGCTTCACCGAGCCAGGACGCTCTGGGGCCAGGGACCATGTTTGCAGCAGATCTGTACAGTCAGACTGCCGTGCCAGGGCAGAAAAATGTTGGCAAGAGCGCCGTGCTGAGCCGCACCCCTGTGCCAGCTCACTCCATACTTTGTTATGAATCATGGCCAGCTCATGTCCTAACGGGGGAGGCTCAAGAAAATCCACATTTAGGCCACCAAGTGGCTGGACACCAGGCTGGCCTTATCAGATCAGCCCAGGCATGAGCAAAGCCATGGCAGACAGCCACGGCGATTACTACACGCTGTGGAATGCACCAGGTTTGGCTATCAGAAAGCCCTATTTAAATCAGGACAGACAGTGTTTACAAGCCAGGGGACATAACAAGGAAATTACTGACTCACAACCACAAACAAGATTATATGGGAGCGTTCCCTGAACTCACTCTTCATCATCCTCTTGTGCAAGGACAGGGGAGTTCCTAGAAGCCAAGGGAGCTTCTCAGACTCCGTACAGAATGTTTTTCTGGTGGGCAGCGAGCCTCATTTCACCAATTCATCCAGCAGCTTCTCCCTGAATCACAGGGAAGCTAGAGGATTGCTGAGCATCTCGGTATTTGTCCTCTAGTTTTCAGGATGTGCTCTCCTAGGGAGCAAGCTCCTCCAGCAAGCTGGGGGCAGAGGCGGCGGTGCAGCGCTCTGCCCAGGAAGAGTTAACACCGGAGGGCCGGTATCCGGCGGGCAGCTCTGGAGCAGGCACATTCCTTGCATACACACCTGCGAGAAGGCACACAGGCAGTTCAGAGACAAAGCAAGGGCTCAAGGTTGCCAAGTGTCACATAAAGAGCTTCCCAGAGAACTGCTCAGAAAAGGCACCCCTGTCCAAGAGGGGGACGATTCACCCTCCCCCGCAAGCCAGGGGCGCAGGATCCCCCGAAAGGCACCAGGAAAGGGTGCCCGCGCTTCCTCTCAGCGGGCAGGCTGCGGCCACGAGGAAAGAGCCGAGAGGCTGCAGCAGAACAACGTTCACCTCTCGCCAAGTCGTCTTTGGCCACGTTCAGCTTAACACCTTCAGCAACTGCCAGCTGGAGAAGGGCATCGGCGCTGCTCGGAGGCTGTTTGCTACCACCTGTTATCCCAGGACTGGAGCCAGGCCAGGAGCTTGCTGGGAGAGCCGGGCTGCACGGCTCTGCAGCCCCACCTTGCCCCAGCAGCTGAAGTCAAGCCCTACTATTCACATGCTCCTCTCTAGGAGAGGTCTTTACAGAAATCTGCCCTTTCTGCAGGAGCCTAGTTCCAGGATTTCTTCCTGACGTTAAGCAGCTTTTATCCCCAGTAAGCACCGAGGGGGATTAACCAACATGCTGGGGGGCAGAGCAGAACCTTGTCCTGCCTGCCAGTAGCAGAAAATAAAAGTGTATTCCCTGCCAGGCAGCCAGCACATCAAGCACATGAGTGCCAAGCGTCATTCCCGGAAAAGCTGGGCACAGAGGTCTCATGTTTGAGCCCAAGACAGGCTGCGCTACTGGATGAAGTCAGATGCCGTTTGCTCTGCTCCTGCAGTGCCTGCACAGAAGTCACCCCCCTCGAGCCCGCAGGGCTGCTGGGCTCCATCCCTAGCCTGCCCCACTCCATTTCACACTCACTTACAGACAGCTTACCACCAGCCTCTTCTCAAAGCAGAGATGTTTACTGCGGCAGTAAAAAAGATTTGTCTGTGATGTGACTTTCCCCAGCTGCTGGCTAGTTCTAGGAAGCAGAAAAATCCAGGCAGCTCCCTGCCCCAGCCCACATATCCTCACACATAAACAAAACAAAAAAATGTTTCGGGGCAGGGACAGTTTTCCAGACGTGGAATTGGCTTCTAGGGCCGCCCATTGTCTCTGATCAAACACACCAGTGTTTGAGTTCATTAAATGCTTCTTTGAAGGCTGATAGCAAGCGAGCTGCAAAGGGAGTGAGGTCTGCAGGGAGGCAGGCGTCTGAAGTGCAGGGAGCTCTTTATCTAGTTTATAACTCGGTAATGGAGACCGAGCGCTGGCTGCAGTGTCTCCCTGCCCAGCACTGTGTACACAAGTCTAGGAGTAAACAGGAGCAAGGTGAAAGTCAACCTTTCCTAGACAAAAGAACATGGAGCCGGGCCAAGCCGGGAGGTGGCAGAAGGGGAAGAAGGGGCAGAAGTGCAGACCTATTAACTCTTTGCAGCCTGCACGGACAGGTAAACGCAAGCTGCTCCCGTGGCTTTTGCCAGGTGCTCTGTACTCCAGGACAGCTGTACTGATCATTTTTGTTTCACTTCACCCTACCAGGGTTTAAGAACTGGATCTCAGGCTACCAAGGAAATCCATGACACGCGCCGCAAGTGTATTGAGGGATGTTCTACAGTCAGGACAGGTCTCCAGCCAAGGAGATCCACAGAAAATGCCCTATGTTGAAGGAAGATTACCATACAAGAGCAGACGGGGGCATGCACGCTGTCTGCTAAAAGTCTGCAGGCAGAGCTTTTCCCGATCCGCATCGATTAGGAGTTTACTGGACAGCAGGGTGTGATTCAGTGAGTTTGGTGCTCACACGCTGCCATCAGGACTATGCCGGGTACTAGTTTGGGTGCTTGTTCTGAACTGTGTTCCAGAATGGGCCGAGCTGAAACAGTATCACACAAAATATCCTTCCCGGACCTGTGGGGTCACAGGTAGATGCCACCTTACATCACTGTACTATGCTACACACCTACATCAACTTGGGAAGAAAGGGCTCTTGCACAACACAGAAGCTGCCTGCACAGCTCAGCCCTGGAGCACTCTCACAAAGGCGTCACGTTGGCCCTCCTGCTGCTCGCTGTCCCACATCGTGGGCCAAAGAGCGCTGAACTCAGTTCTCCAGCGTGAGGATGCAACGCACAGCGGGAGAGCAAACGCTGCTCACTCAGCAGGGCTTTTCAGAGAAGCTCCGTGCCCATCTCAGGGCTGACATTTCACCACTGGACCCAGCTGGCCAGAGCACCTCAACACCAACCCAACTGCTAAATTCACAGTGGGGGAGTCCCACTGTAACACCTGTAAGGCTCACCAAGGCTTGACATGCCAACAAATCCCTAGGTATCAATTATAAGAGAACCAAGGTGCCACGGTGTGCGCTGAGAGAAGCTCAGCTAAGAACAGAAACTCTGTAAACCAGCACACCTGGGACAGAGGATTTCCATATAGTTTCTTACTCCGAGCCCTTACAGGAGCACACAAACCAGAACGGTTTTAAAGCTTATGCAAAGCGTGCAATGGAGCAGGAGTTAAGAGCAGAGCTCACCCCTTAAGCAGCAGCACAAGCAAGACGGCTGTTCAAAGCGGGCAAAGCCTAGGAGCCACGTAACACTGGAAACGGTGGCTCAGACCAGAGCCAGGCAGCTAAATAAAGCTCATCTCCAAGGGAGGGAGGTGTGCAGCCAGATAACAGGCAAAGACAGCTCTATCTTCCCGTCTTAATAAGCATTAAAAGTAAAGTTATTAGAAGCGACACGCGCTTCCAGCAGAGGCAACTCCTGCCAGGTTAGTAAGGGAAGGGGCTATCCTTCCCCTCAAACAACTCTTCACTCCCTTCCCTCCATGTTCCAGCTCAGAGCAGGGGGCAAACGTCACTTTTGTCCCGAGAGCAAAGCAAATACCATTATTTCAATCCAGGTCACACCTAATTCCTTCTCACATCAGCCACAGTTAACAAATCCACTTGTGCTCACTCCTCGCGCCCATGTTTAGAGGGTACCATTTTACCTTTAGTTCCTGGTCAATCCGTCCCACGTAATTCGCAGCGCACGTGGCCTGCGGTGGCCTGTGCGCCAAAGGAGAGAAGTTAATCAGCTTGCAGGCACACGCGTGCGTTTTGCTGCACGACAGGCTTGCCCCAGGCCTCCAGACACGGACAAATGCTACTGCGCCTTTGCTCCACGACGCTATTCAAGCGGTCCTGGAGCAGGACAGCAGGCACAGCGGTCTTTGGGCCAA